TTACCGGATATATTGTGTGGACCTCTTTTAAAAGACGAATAAAAAAGTCCTGATTTATAAAACCTCAACTACCTTTTGATCATCTATCAGCTCAACTCAGCGTCCACAGTTACTCCATACTCTCAATAACGGTCAAGCGTGGACTCATGCTTCGGCACGAATGGATCGGCTCAACAGGCGTGAAACATCACGCATTCTGTTTTACCGAGTGAGACAGATTACCAGCTTAATCCTCCCCATATTCAATTTCTCCAATCCTCAAAACCCCTGAAATTCCGGCAACGCAATTGAACTTCTCGGGTGTCGCGGGTACCCATGGGTGGCGCGCGCGGTGGTAACCATAGCAGGTGATCCGTCAGCTCGTTAGCTCGGCAGCTACCCTATCCCATAGAAATAAATAATTCTGTACCTAGGTAACCTGGGTAGGTTCTGTAGCTTGACTGCATGGTTGGCGCGATGGCTGGGCAACCGGCCGCAGCGCAACGTGTAGTGGGTTCGATTCCCGCAAGGAGCAATTCCTTGTGTTAACTACAAATTGTTGTTTCGGATCTGGGAGTCATGTATGTGAACTTGTATGTTTGTAAACGCACCCATGACACAGGAAAAAATGTTGATTGATTATAGTCACAGAAGTTTTGCAAATGATTACGAATTATAATTTTTTTATTTTGAGGTAGGTACACCTACATAATATTATTTAATAAAATTATGATAGACAGGTTTGAAAACATATTTCAGTATGCAAATAGCCCAAGAGACTATAAAATCTGGTAATGTTGAATTGAAGAAAGAATTGCTTTTAACTAAAGTACGCAAAACAGACATTATTGAACGCGTAGAAGAGGGTAAAAAGAAGTATGAAGCTATATGGCAGGAATGTAAAGCTAGGTACGAGAGCATTCCATTTGTACAAAAGCTACTTAGGGCCAAGGGTAAGGTTCAGGCTCTAAATAACGATATTAAAGCTCTTGATAAAGAAATATTAACGCTTTTTGAGTCAATGAAAACTCAACGCCAAAGTTGTTTAACTTTCGACAAAAATCGTTGCATAGAATTAGCTAATTTTGTGGTCAATGAAATGCCAAATATCAGAATTAACATTAATGACAAAACTAAGAATATCAATGAAGTAACAAAACAAATTGAAGAACATATTAAGAAGCAAAAGTCCGCAGTAGTTACAGCAGTCGTGGAACCAGAAATTGCAGATAATATTGAAATGCAAACGAAAGATTTAGTAAAAAATGATAATTTGGATAAAAATGATGACGATACTTTGGTACGTCAATTTGTATAGTATTGGTATACTTACGTAATAATTACTTACCTAAATTTATTTTACCTACATTGCCTTTTTGTTCTTTCAGATACCAAAATTAGAACTGGCTAATTTAGATCTCGATATTATAAATGTTAATATAGAACGGGTAAGGACTTTAATGCAATTATCAGAAATATATACCTTTATATTGTTTAACATTATTACTTACATCGGAAATAAATATTCTAACAGGCTAAAATGATGAACGACGAAATATCCAAAACCATACCAACGACAACGGACGCTACGGATATTTTGGGTATTAATGACATTAAACCATACAATGACGAAAGCAAAGCTTTTGAATATGTAATTTCACCATATTTTAATTTGTATAAAGACAAGGAACCACATAACTTTTCTAAGAGAAAGTTGATTAACATCCTTGAAGATGTTCACATAAATAATGAGGAAGTGTACAACATTGTTAAGAAGGTGAATCTGGAAAACCTTCGAACGATTGATGAAATTTCTTTGGGTTGTAATAAAAACATTACAGATGAAAATACGGTTTTAAAGAACAGAGTAAGTCAATCATCGGTTTGTTTAGTTTTGTTTAAATTTTACATCACTAACTATATCAATCGATAAAAAATTATTTTTTATACAAAACAGGCCACGCCGATTGAGAGTGATAATATCGAAGAAGTAGATATTACACGTTCCAATGCAGACGACATCTTAGTACCACCAACACAATTTTTGGATATCACATTGACGGTAATAAAGTCTGGCGAACGAAAGCAGAGACTGAAAAAACCCGGCAAATTTAAAAAATATCAGTATAGCAACCAAAAAATTAGTATGTCATACCTGGAGTAACCTAATTTGATACTTTATAATAACTTGTTTGTTTGTTACGTCTTCACGTCTGGTTACTCCAGGTATGAGATACTAATTTTTGGGTTGCTATACTGAATTTTTTAAATTTGCCGGGCTTTTTTAGTCTCTACTTTCGTTTGCCAGACTCTAGATACTTAATAAAATATTAGTCAAGTAAAAGGTGGCAATAAGTTACTAAAAATTACGTTTTCCTAAAAACTAGCTTAAAACATAAGAATGTTGCTAAAAATTTATAACTTAAACATCTATAATTATATAAAATTCTCTAAAATTACATTTTTAAATACCACGTACAAAATAACATAACAATATTTAAAAATATAATAAGCGACCAGTAGCGGGATCATGGTCCAAGCTACCGGTGGTTAGGGCTCCAGAGACAGAAACCTTCTCACGATACGTGCTGTTTTAAGGAGAACTGCCTTTATCAAGCACTTGATCCATCCACCTAACGCCAACCTCCTAAGATGAATGATAGCCGAATCCACACTCCACATGTCGCATCGACAACCTCGTGAGCTAAGTCTAGATATTTTATTTGTTTATCTTTCTCTGCTCTCACGAGGTTCTCGTCATGGCGAATGGTGACATCGATTATCATCGTGCAGCGCACTTATCGGTCTATTATCATTACGTCAGGATTAATTTATTCATTATTATTAAGACTTCCCAGGATGGTTTACAGAAGAAGAGAGTATCATTTGACATTCCTTCATCGGTTACAATAAATGAAATAATAGAAGATGAAGGTAAAATAATTAATAATGATGAAAAGGAAGCAGTAGATCAAACTATTAATAGTCAGTTGGATATGAGTGTGGCCAGTGAGGATAGTTTTATGAAGATACAAGATATGATTATAAAGAAACATAATTTGGATCTTTCACCACAATTCGTCTATGCAAAAACTTCTACACTGCAAAAGGTAAGTAAGGGTAAAAATCATTAAAAAAAGGAGAATGTATTTAAATGTTCTAATCAAATCAATTTGATTTGCTAGAATAGTTCTGTTGTTGTTGATGACCTACAATTCTACAATTATTTTTTTCAGAAAGATGATGTAATTGTTAAATCAAAGTTTTTCCAAAATGACAATCTCGGGTCTAATAAAGTTTCGGACGTTGCAATTGACATAGGTGAAGAACCATATTCTACGAAAAGTGAATTACAATCTGACGAATACCTCAAAAATTCTAAAAATACGGAAGAGTTGAATGTTGGGTATAATAATAATATAGCAATGGATGTTGATGATATAGTTGTTTCCAGTCCCAAGGAGAGTAAGGTAGATTAATGTAAACCCAATTCAAAAATTTAGATATGGATAATACAGTAGGTTGCGAAGTGAGCTGTATACCAGTATACCCCACTAACCCCACGAAAAATCGATCGGCATTAATATCGGGTTGGTTAATAAAAACGTTAAAAATTACGGAAATCGCAAGTTTTTCGCAAATATCTAATAATTTGTTTAATTGCGAACTTAATTAGGTACCTACAATATTTTGTTTCATATTTGCTAAAAGCCATTTTCTGTCGTTCGTATGCGGTTCACAGCCTCCTGCAATAAAGGTTAAAATGGGAACGAAAGAAAATCTTTACATAACAAAACATATGTCTATGATGTCATGCTCAAAATTAAAAGGACAGCAGTAGGTTCCTAATACTAATTATGATAACGCGTTTAACCATTTAATTTTATTATTTTACTAATACGCAAAAGATAATTTAAAAATATTGCCCATAAATTACGTGAGGTGTTTTTTTAAATTTCTCTCGTCCCCCCCACGGGTGAGATTTTAATATCCTCCCCCATACCCCAATTTCGCGTTGTATTGTTATTATAAGAAATTTGCTTTTATTTATGACTAGTTAAGACTGGTACAATCATCAATAAGTGTAATAAAAATGTAACAACAGAATAATACTACACATATAAAACAAATGCATGTACAATTAAATCTTAAGCATGTACAATAAAATAGAAAATTTTTTTTTTTGTTTCAATCAGAAAAAAAATTACGTGATATTTGCCGAGACCGTCCCTCTCTCCAACATACAATTATAGCAATAATTTTTCAAGAGTTCGTCACCCATTTTGAAATCCATAATGACAATACTTTAAAATTAAATATGTAAGGTGCTAAAGCCACTCAAGCACCATTTTGTTTTTCCTATTTCAAGCTTCCTCAAAGGTAGCAAAAATGTAAAAATGGCACAAAATCATGATTTGTAAATTTTTAGAAACATGAAAATCTAACTATATCTAATAAAGCCGTGGCTGGACTGTTATTTACTCATGGAACACAAGCAATACCCGATTCACTGAATGCATCCATGAGCACAACTGGGTTTGAAGATTCAGATTTCCCACATTGCATTGGTAGGCTGAATATTATGAAAACAATAAAGTTACATATCTATAACATATTATTATTCATTATTTTCATTGAGTAACATACAAATTTTCAGATTCAAGCCTACTTTTATCCCCTAAAGCCGATATACCTTTAAGTTGTGACAATGATGCCCAATCACAAGAAGTTCCAAATTTTCTTTCAGGTAGTTTGGTATTTATTTTTAACCGACGTGATTATAAGACCATTTATTTCATTTTACATGTCAAAAATATTTCTTTTTAAGGATTTCGTAAGGCAGGCATGTCGTTTTTTGGAGGAGGAAGCACAAATTGTAGTGAACCTAAGCCAGATTCAAGTGCACCTAACGATGGAAATAATTTTAGTTTCAATTTTGGCGGAGAAAAGAAAAATAGAGGAGGCTTGTTTAGTTTATTCAATTAATTATTTTTGTTTTTATTTTAATAAACTTCATGTACTATAGTGTAATGTTTTTTATTTGTAAACAACAAAACAGTGTTATTGATGTAACTGACAGGCTCTTACAGCTATTAATTGTAGAAGTATAAATAGAGGTGCAAAAACCTCACTATATTCTATTGCAGAATCACCTTGTAGTTTTCTGCATAATAAAAATTTGAATACAAATGTCAGCCCTAAAAATATAGCACTCCATGAAGCTCTATATAAGGAGGCTTTGTATGAACTTTCTAAATTCATCCTTATACATACTATACAGCAAAAGTATGCATTCATAGCATCACTCACAAACAATGGTGCAAACACTGTCCACCAAGCGCTGTACACCACTCCATCTATTTTCAAAGCTAACAAAACGGAGAATATTGTTATAGTAATTAGATTGATCCATATTTCAAACACTGTTAGTCCAATCCACTGCACTATTTCATTCAGCGTGAAGAACATCTTTACTGGTTGGCACCAAGCATTGCAGTTCTAAATATCCTTATGTGGATTGAAGATGAACACCTCACTTGTGAATCAAAGTCTAGTTCATCAGTCAGTGGCTCCAGGTCATCTGTGAAATTATAATTATCTCAATTATATAAATTTTATAAAGAAATATTCATTGCACATTGCATAATATATGTAATTTTGTTACTTAAATTTTTCACATGGCTGTTTCATGCCTAATAATTCTAGTGTAAAATTATAATATGAATTAAACATTGTACACACCAACACAGTCTACAGTTCCGGTGTTTACTTCAATCTGACATGTGCCAGAGAACAATATTTCAAGTTGAAGTGCCAGGTTGCAGCACCTTTGTATGGCAGCGCCTAAACCATGAAGAATTATGTCTTTTTCTCCCTTAGTCAAGAGATCGCAGCACTTATCGAGCTGTGCCTGAAATAAATATTAATTAAAACTAATTAAAAGTGTTTTCAAGTAAAAGAAACATGTACCTGGTTTGTTTTCTAATCTGCATGTTATTATAGTGTCCATTACCTTGAAATTAGTCTTCCTCGTAATGTATATCACATTATCACCGTCTACGGGTTTCAATGGTACTCGCTTTTTTAAAGCATAGTTTTTGTTTGGATGTCGTTTAGGTCTTTTCTTGGAATCTTCCTTCTTCTGAGGAGTGTTTTCATCTGCCATAATTCAGAATACCAAGTGACACAAGTGGCACAATATACCAAAACAAAATGTCAGTTTTCTTTTGACGTTTAACCATAGATATTTTTCTTAGTGTCTATGCCTCTAGCATTACTTAGACAGATAACTTCAGTATGTTCGGATACATACATTCCGTTCACAGTTATTTTTTACTAGCTTTTACCCGCGGCTTTGCTCGCGTCACAAAAGTATAAAAAGTAGCTTATATGACATATACCAATACACACAGCGCCATCTATACCAATAATTTCGTTGTCCCTCGAGAATATCAAATTTTTCCGGGATAAATATTAAAGTCCGGGATAAAATATTAATATCAGTGTTCATTTGTTATATCTATATTTAGTTTTTCTTGTGCAGTCTATTCTAGCATAATTACATTTAAATTATATTTAAGTTATTTGAGTTATTTCATATAGTTTAGGCAAGCGAAGACATTTCATATTGTTATTCTAACTATTGACATTAATTAGTGAGTGGGTATTTTTGATCTCATTAGATTAGATGTGATTATTTGACTATTTGATGTCTAATATTGGAACTTTTAATTACCTTTAGGATTATATACAAAGATTATTTCATTTAATTTCTAATTTTAAATAGACCTTATTTTATTATTATTATGTATGTCTTTACCATTCACGGGACCACAGGGTCCCGGTCATTTGGGAGGCGTACGAGGGGTCGAAGCCAACTGCGCAGAGGCCCTTTAGACAACTTTAATATAAATGTAATGGACACACAAACCGGCGACTATCCCTGTATGCACTATGGAAATGCGCTCTCGCGACTCGCGACTTACGAATAGTTTCTTACCCTCCGAGCAGGATCACTGCTCTCGCGACTCCACTCTGGACGGCCAATGAAGGCAAGCCAGAGGTGGGAGACCTGTTCCTTGTCATTGTTCACTCCAGCCAGCCAATTAAGGCAAGCCGGAGAAGAAGGAACGATGACTTCTCCCTGGAGCACTCGGGATGATGGTAGCCCGCGGGATCGCTAATGCCCGTCACCTCGCCTCAAGGTGCCCTGCGGGCTTATTATTATTATTATTA